TCGGCTTGGTGGAGGGCTCTCTCTGCAACTTCAGCTCTACGCATGGGTGCTCTCTCCTGCAGCTCACAACTGTCTCAGGGACAGCACCGTCCCTGTCTCGAGGACAGCACTTGCTGCTAATTTCCAGAGGTTTATTCACAACGATAGAAAATACTTAAGAGAAAGCCTGTCTACTGAAATAGCAGCTGCATTCTTAGGATGCAGTTAAGCTGTTCCTGCTAAATTAAGAGTTGTGATAAAGGTTAATCTTACCCTGTTACTGATTTTTGTATGATTCTGATGAGAATGATGACAGGTGGCCACAGCAATTTCAGATGCTCCTGCGATAACTCTACTGAGCCAGGTCACCACTTGAGTGGATTATGGGCTTCCAACAGGAGTTCTGGAAAGTCAGAAAAAAGGACTGTGGGAGACTTTCTGCCTCTACTACACAGATACTACAAACTTACATATTACACAAGCTTTTCTTTTTTTTTTTTTTTTTTTTTTTAATACAAAATACAAGGCAATGTTACCCACAAAGAAGGACATTGTGATGGGGTTGGGAGCAAAGGACCAGTAGGTCCTGCTGTGGCAATAACCTCTTCGCTTCTTCTCCTCAGGACTCCTACACAATGCCCCTGACTTCCATTCAGTGCTGGCATGTGCACTGTGAAGAATGCTGGCTGCGGACTCTGGTGAGGCTCTTGGCTACTTTCTTGTTGACTTACAGGCTTTTTCCTCTCTTCTGGGATACTTTATTTTAAATCACTACAGGGCAAGGTGCTTTTTGCTTTATTTTAAACAATCTGAGTGCTGTGCATGCAGACTTGCCAAGCCTTGCAGTTCAACACCCCACTCTAGCTTTGACTTATGTGAGTTTCATTTGAGTCATCATGACCAAAGTGCAGCCCTGCCCCTTGCTTGCTCCTCTGCTGCCATGGGGACAGCCATTGCTCATGTAAGAGCTCTGTGCCAGGGACAGCCTTATCTTAGAGTAGTTTCCTGTGGTGCATCTGCATAGAGAGGTAAAGCTGTGAGAATGGAGGCCAACTCCGCTGAGATTTCATGGAATGGGTAGCTCCTGAGAAACCTGATATTCCCCCTGAGGCAAAGGGAATCATCTTCAGCATAGAGGATATGAAAGAGAGCTTTTATAAATATGAATCTGTATTTTTCAGATTAGTTGAAATAGGACTGTGCAGTTTTCAAGTGTATGCCATTGTGTATCGAAAATTGGGGACTGCCTTGAACATTGAATAGGTGACCCAGTGCAGTAGTAATTTACACATGTATTAAAGGATATCAGGTTAAAATTTAAGGCATTATTAAATGAAGTGTTTTCCTGTCCTGTATTAAAACTGTGGCGTTTATAATCAGCCTATAATGTCCCCTATGCAGCTGATTTTGAAGCTTTCATTTTGCTCAGGTTGAAGAGTGGAAAATAGTCAGTTATGCTTTTTACTTCTCCTGTTAGCAAGGTGATACAGTGTTGGGTTGCAAAAAAGTGTAAGGGAATGCCACTCCTAAAAACTGTTCCTGTAAGGCATTACAAAATCTACTTTATAGAACACGTTGTGTGCTTGGAATTACGATTAAGCTGATCATACTCCTTTAAATCCTGCCTTTTAAAAGTCTTATCCAAGAAAAGTTACCAGGATGGTGAAGTGCCTGTGGGCTTGAGTACTAATAGCAACTCAATAACTTGGCTATCCCTTGGGCTGTATTTTATAGCTCTTCAGCTACACCCCGTCACTATTTAGATTATACAAGCTTTTGTAAACATTTTAGCAGCATGTTATAAAAGACACATATGTGGGTACATAGCTGTGAGGTGTTTGGATGAATGTGTGCTCTGCCACCTTTGCTAAAGGACAAGAGTAATCTTGTCCCTTAGCGGTGCTACAGTAGAGGATAAAACACTAATTTCTTTCTAATTTTCTTTACTCTAAAGTCTTTGTCCTCTCCTCTTCCCACCAGCCTCAAGTCACCTTCTAAATCTGTGGCACCAATTTCAGGTTGTTATTAGGCTCAGCGGCATCTTAGTTCAACTTCAATCAGGCCCCTTTGTTTCACGTACCATGGTCATGGCTGCTCATGGGCATGGGGAAACCTCACTCCAGGTGCTCAGGGATTACCATTTACCCTTGCAAGGGGAGAGCCATCTCCTCTAGAATTCCCTGAGGAAGGTGGGGATGGAGCTGGCTGTGTGCTATCCACACGTGGCTCTTCTGCCGACCAGGCAGGCAGGATGGGAATAGTCCAGCAAGACATCATATTAGGACTTGGCACTTGCATAGGGGAAGCAATTAATAAGTGGCTACTCATGTGTTCCCCAGCCCTAGCCTCTCCCTGCAGCCCCCAATTTATTAAAGCAGGCCTTTTCACAAGGCACGCTTGCACTCCCTCTCCTGTCTCAAAAAAAATCTCCCAGCCTGTGTTCGCATGTTTCTAATGTAACCATTAAAATGTAGCCCGAAGACAGCAATAAAAACCCTGGAACGCCTTGGTGCTTTTGTGTCTTGATCAAAGTCAATGTGTGTAATCTCGTTAAGACTGCCCTCCTTCCCCCCTCCTTTTTTTATGAATTTAATGGCATACAGCAGCTGGGCTCAGTGTTTAATGCTCACCAACTTGCATTGTTCTAATTAAGGTATCTCCTTTTATTTCGGGCACAAAAGAGACTCTTGTTTTTTTTAACAAGCGAGGAGCTGTGGGATAGTGTGTGTAATAATCGCTGCTGTTACCTTTCCCTGGGTATAAAGCTGGCTCCCCAGTGGGGGCAGGAGGAGGGAGCCTGCGCGTGCAGCACACATGGAAAGACTTGGCTGGGGAAAAGGGGCAACATTTTTCTTCTGTTGTGCAATAAACAATTTGTTGGAGTTAATAGGAGCTGGGGCGGGTGGGTTATGTCGGGCTTCCGGCCCCTTTTGAACATTCTGGAGATCTGCCATCCCTGCTGGTGAAAAGTCCCCTTTCTCCTGTGCGCCTGTGGTTTATGTGCCCAGCCAAGATCTAATATTAAATTAGAGTGTGAGTGTGTCTGAGAAGAGAGAGAGAGGGAGGACCGTGTATTGAACAAGGCCATGGAACTGGAGTCTCAGAGTGCCTGGGAGCACTTCTAAACCTCTGCAGGGTATTGAAGACAGGGTGAAATCTGACGTGCACCTCTGTCTATAGACCAGAGGAGGTGAAGTGGGTTTTGAAAGGCTTAAAGTTTAAACATTTTCTAGGATACAATGCTGCAAGGATCTGAGCATCTCTGGTATCCCCTGACTTCATTGATGTCTAGGGCACTGATTAGGATTGGATCTTTAGAGCACTTAGGCTTTCTGAAAATACAATTTTTGGACTTTGGGCTCTTGATGTCCAGTTCCAAATTATAACTGTTCTGTTGCTAAGGGAGAGGGGAGATATTTTTAACCACTGACTCTACAGATGTTTGCTGGGCTGTCTAGCTTTGGTACCATTATACTAGAGCTCAGTCCATCAAACTGGCTTCAAGTTGTGGGGATGAAACACTCACCAGAGGAGACTCCATCTTCATCTGCTGTTGCTGTGTTGGATTAACATGAAGGAAAGGCTAGGGTTGCAGGAAGGGAACCCTGGAGATGGCTTAAGAAAAACAAGATCATGGTGCTTTCTGAGTTATCCAGCGCCTCAGTGCCAATAGGAGCTGCTTGGTTAGACAGTCCTTCTTAGGGTGGCCATGGGGAAAGGGAGGAGCCATCCCTTCACCCAGCATCAGGATGTGATGAGTTGAATGTTTTTCTCTCCTTCCACTTGCTCTGTGAGCAAAACTGTTCTCCCTGAGGACTGCAGTCCAAGGGCCACAGGCTAAAGATATGATGTACACTGTATACACTGTGGGCAGCTCTGTGGTTGTAGGCAAAACAGAAATAGAGACAAGAAGAGGGATACAGCATTGCTTAATGCCATGTGGTTGTGCCTGGGTTCTCAGGAAATCCCATTAGCTGGATTTGTCTGCTGGTTTTGTATTGCTGTGTCAAACCACACCAATGAGCTTGCTACTCACTACTTGCTGGTTGTCTGGGGCACTCAACACAGTGACATTTTTCATTAATCCATGCTGCATGTAGAGAGCTAGTTGATATCTTCAGGTTACACAGAAGCTGGGATATAAGCCTGGAGTGACTTCCCTGTGATCCCTTTTGGCAAGCCCTGAAAATATGTGCAGGTTCTTCCAAGACAGTAGAGGGAATGGTGTTGCAGGAGGGAAGTTCAGCCTAGGCAGCAGGAGGTGGGATTCATTTCCCTGAATGTCAACCCTCCTTGCAGCAGGTATCTATCCTCTGTAGGTTGTTTGGCCTGCAGCCCTGAGTCAGCGGGTGATGGGGGATGAATCTCCCTCTGGTGGAGGTTTATCTGCCCCTTCTCCATCCTTCCCCATTAACTGAGAGGGACCTTCAGCTACTAGTGGGTGAGATTCATATTTTCCTTCTCCTGGGAAGAGTGCTCTGACAGTAGAGATTGGCAATCTGCTGCAGTGCTTTGCTGGAGACATTTGGAGCCTCCATCCTTTGAGGTGTGTGAGAACAGGTTTGATGTGTGTCCATAAGCAGTAGTTCAGGTTGAGGTGATCTTGCTGGGGGAATGGGTCAGTGAGTTCTTGACATCCCTGTGAGCTATAGTTCTGTGATCTTCCAAACCCTGGTATCCTTCCTTATGAAGTAAATAGCATTAAAAGCTAAGTCAGTGATGGAGCTGTTGGTGGGTGCAAGCAGGCAGGGACTGAAAAAGGTTAGGTTTATTTGAGCAGATGCCATTTGTTGAGTTTCCCCCATCACCTGTACTGGATCCAGCACTTCCTGTGTGTATTTGCTGACCCCAGGCTTGTGCTTGCCTGTCTTGGGCCTGTTAGAAAATGACAACTGCAAGAGCAGGAAAATATCACTTCTAAAAAGCCTTCTTCACAGAGAATATGCTTCCAGGGGATCCATCAATAGATGTGTATGCTCTGCAGTTGACACATTTATATCTTTGGTAGATTACGTTCTTAGCCTTGTCGCTTTTTCTAGGCTATAATAATGTATATCCCATGCAGGCTGAAGTAGTTTTGTAAGAACAGTACAGATACAGAGCAATCCTTCTGGGGGATTCCTTAGTACTTCCAGCAATATAGGGACCTTCTGAGTCAGCAGCTCCATTTGAGGATCCTTCATGATGTTCCTGTCTGCCATGGGGTTATCCAGTTATTTGTTAACATATTTCAGCTTTGGCCTCCGAACAACCTGTGGGGGGGGGTCTTTGTGATAAAGGTTGCTCTCCTGATTGCTTTAACCCCACAATGGCAGTGGTAAACAGCTACTTCCCTGGGAATTAGCATTTGCAGAGAAGCAGCTGCCACTTCATGTGGAGACATGGGTGGGGGAGGGGGCTGTTGCTCACTTGGGAATTGGATCTTGGAGTTCAGTTCCTCTCCTGGGAGAAGGTGGCTCTTAGTTTGGTGCCTCTTGTCATCTCTCTACTTTGATTTTCCTTCCTCTGAAATAGGCAAGCTTTGAGCCTAGGTTTGATGGTAGCACCATGTAGGCAAAGTTGCTCTGCGTGTGTCTCTTTATTCTGTGGCTGGTTGTATGTCCTGCTTGGAAATTGCCCATTTTTAGGACCCACCGGACAGCAGGAAGTGCCTAAATCCTTCCTTTTGAGTTTTCTTGTTTTAGCCAATTTATAGCAGACGTCACACCATTTCTTTTTTTTTTTTTTTTTTAAGAGGCAACTTTAAGACGAAATCCTCCAATCCTTCCTGGCACCATCTGAGCCCTAACGACTTTTCAACATCTCAGCTCTCGTTAATGTATTTTTCAAACTACTACCTCAAGTGATTAGCCTGTATTGTGGATCAATCACTTGCCAAATTTTAATTAAGAAAGGAGGAGAAAAAATAAACTCCATCCTGGTTTCCAGCCCCTTTTCTTTGCTTTGTAGCAGCCCTGGAGCAAACTTCTTGCAGCAGAGTTTTATAAACCCCTCAAAACTGGGGTTTATAATGGAAAAGCTGAGGTGGCCTTTACTCTAGCACACGCAGCTATAACACATCAAGGCTTTTCCATGAAGCCATGATGAAAGGAGCAGAAGGACCTGGAAAAAAAAAAAAAAGAAAGAAATGGCTGACAGGTGGGACTTATTATTCCACAGCATTTTTATTTCAAGGGAAAAGTTTAGTAACCCCAGCTGGCAGGTGAGCAGTGGGGGAGCAAACGGTTTTTCATTGTGCCTGTGCCAGCATGTGTGTGTGTACAAGCTTATGTGCCTCTCTACAAGACAGGAGAGCTTAAACGCTAGTGCCAATAAATGTTGTACACCTACACCGAAAAGTCAGATGTAAGGAACAAGGTTCTAAGCAATTTCAATATAAAAAGAAATAAAAAAATGAGGACTTAGTTCTCAATTTAACACACGTGCTTATGTGTGCAGGGGATGACAGTTTTATTTAAAAAGGAGGGAAAAAAAAAGAAAGAAAAAAGAGAAAGGCTTCCCCAAGGGTCCAAAGTCATTATTTTTGCTTGAACTGTTTAATACCAAGCATAAGTACTAGGGAGACCCAGAGACCTGAGCCCAGCATGCCACGTGCAGTCAGCCTGCAAAGCGTTTGGGCCAGGCTGCTGAAGAGCTCTAGGATTCCATTGTTCCCTCCAATGTACCCAGGCTTCAGAGCTCAGGAAGAGCTGCTCTTCCCACGTGCAGGTGAAGCAACATCCACCACTGCCCTAAATCAGTCTGTGATCATGAAGCTTCTGCAGAAAATGGGTCAGGCTACATGTGGTTGGGTTCTGCTTTCTGACATGGTTGAAAACTTGGCCCTGGCGGCACATGTGCAGCTCTCAGCCTTAGGCGGGAGAGCAGATCTCCGTACAGCCATCAGCATGGGGTGCAGAAAGCAGATCTCTGGGACAGAGATCCCAGGGTCTGGCAGGACAAATCCACCCATCTTCACTTTCCCTGTGGTGTGAAGGAATTGCACACCTGACCTTGCCTTGGTTTAATCAGGTTTGTTCTGCCCTCTGTGGGCTGAGTGTGGAGGACTTGTGCTTATAGTGAGCACCTGCACAGCCTTTGGAGAGACCTGAGCAGAGCAGCTTTCCAGCAGTCTTTCCTTCCAAAATTTCCCACATGGAACTGTCTAATCTGTGTTAGAGAAGTTGCCCTTGCAACAGGCCACATGCATGTGCCTGCAGCTGGCTTAGTCCACCTCCAAATCCCAGAAGGGAGCATGAGGTGCAAGACAGTGAGATGGCAGCACTGAGGTTTGGTTTTAGAAGAAATTAACTCAAGGGGGTTCAGTGCTCCTCCTCACCCACCAATAGCCAAACATCTGCAACTTCAACAGAGCTAAAAGTAAGTAACTGCTGAAGTGCTGTTCAGTATCGCACAGGAGCACTGAGGAATAGGGGGCATGGGTTCAGGTGGCAGCAAGCATCCTTTGAGGCATTTGATGGGTCAAGGGACTGGTACTTGCAGAAGGTACCTCTGTCCCTGGTGCACTGTCCAGAGGAGAGGCTCCAGCTACTTGGTTGGATGCTTTGCTGCCTCTTGCCAGTAAGCTGTGCCTGTCTTGGGAAGGAGAACATGGATGCAAATGTGTGCAGTAGTCACATCTGGAATGCCTTAAAGTCCCCATGCATACTTACTTCTTGTCAGGGCACACAGGAGGGCTTGCAGGGGCAGCTGCCAGCTGCTGCCTGTTTGACAACATGGTTTGAATTAATTCCTTAGCACCTCCCTGCCACTTCTCCTGGGACCCTCCAGCTACAGAGATGATGTGAAGACGCCAACCAGGTGCAGTAGGCACCTCTGAGATCCTGGGGACTACATGGCAATGCAGGCCTGAGCAGGAACTCAATTGAAACAGGCTGTTTCATGGCATTTGAATGCGTGTTGGGGCAGCAGCTCAGCCGCTAACAGCAAAGGGTATCAAATGAGAGCTTGATTGCTCAGAAGTCCAAAGCTTGAGGAGCAGCAAGCATACAAAGTCCATGTCTAAGGAATAATGGGAGCAGGGAGGGGACTGGTTCAAGGCTGGTCTGCAGGGGCTTTTTGGTAGTACTCAGTAGTGCAGAGCAAACATGACTTGCACCTCTTTGGAGCTGCATCCTTATGAATTACTTGCATCCATGTAAATTCTCTGTTCCTGGGATTCTCCCCTCCAGATTCTTCTCAGTCCAAGGAGCTTCCAGGGGAGAAAGCCCCCGTCCTATCTCTGCAGGCACTGTCACAGAGCAGACAGGACCTTTTCTAAGGATGCTTGTCTTTTGTGAGCAGCAGTGCTAGGGATATACCAGAGTGCAGGCAGCAGTACCAAAGCAGTGTGGCAGGTCACAGTCTTGCCTTGCCACTCAGTCCGTGTCCTGCAAGCTGCCATGCTCACTGCTGCAGGTAGTGAAACAAGCCCTGCTAAGGGAGAGCAGCAGCAGCACTGAACTAAGCACCTTCAGTTCTGCCAACAAGCACCCCCTGCAAGCTTGCAGGCCTTCTCACAGCATGCTGCATCCCTGTCAGCTCGCTTGTCACACCAAGCACTGGGTGTCAGCTGCTGGAAGGGCCTGTCTGACAGCAGTGAGCAAAACTTGGGGTGCTCGGACATAACCTGTGCTCAGTTCTGTGCAGAGGGAGGTTGTGTTGATGCTGCGATCAGTGTTGAAAGCCAGGACATCCCAGTTTCCTGCTGCTGGTGCCGTAGAGGCTGTCTTGCAGCAGAGCCATCTTTCTGTCATTTTTTCCATCAACTGTCTGTCACATCTGCCAATCTAATGATGACCGGCTTAGGTTGACCCCGATTCTGAGGCTTATTAACACCCTTTTGCTGTCAGGCTTGGTGACAGATGGCACATCAGCCCTTGGTTTATTTCATGTAGTGTTCGTGTCGGCCACCCATTACCTCACCCAGCTCAGATCACAGCTTGATGGTTGTAGCTTACCTTGATAGAGCACTCATCTCCACAGCATCTCTGTGAGCTGGGGAGTGGGACAGGATGGGGTTTCCTTCATGCCAGCAGCTCTGGGGCTTTTGCTGTATGGCCGAGGCAATCCCCTGGTATGTTACCTGAAAGGGATGGTCTAACCCCACCATGCTCCAGTGTAGTCATCCCAGCTGAAAACTACACTTGTTCCATGTGGGTTGGGTTTGTGACTGCTCAGTGACCTGAACTCACACACTAAGGGCTGCAGGGGAGCAAGGGGACCAGAAAGGAGATGATGTCCCTGGCAACCAGCGGTGACAGTGTAGTGGGACAGGGGACTTGGGCTGATCCATCTGCAAAGACTCCTCTCCTGGAGCTGCTGAGTTTAGTGACACATCTTGGCTCTGGGTTTCAGCCTCTCACCAGCTGCCTTGTGCCAGGGACTGCAGTGGGATGAGGGGCTTACAGGAAAGGCATTGGGGCTCCTCCTTCTCACAGCTTGTGCCTGCTGTTGGGAGGAATGGCCCTCCTGGAGGGGAAGCAGAGTGGCCTGGCTGCTCCTGTGCTGCTCTCCCTGAGATCCCAGGCCAAGGGCAGGGTCATGCAGGTTGTCCTCCTTCACTCTCTCATGCTCTTTGTCTCATCTGCCGGTTGCAGGGTGCCAAGAAGCTCTGTCCCCAGTGCAACACCATCACGTCTCCTGGAGACCTTCGGCGCATCTACTTATGAAGGACCCAGCGGGAGGGCAGGACCTAGCTACTCAGCTCAGCTCATCACAACAAGGGGGAGAAGAACGACAGCAACAAAAAAAAGACGTTTTAAAATTCAAAGAAGGTTAAAAACTAACAAACAAAGCAGAGACTCCAGATACGGACTTGAGGATACAGGAGCAGTGGGGAGCCTCGGCTCCCTGGGCCCGCATGTTGAGACCTCCTTCAGCACCTGCAGCGGGCAAAACCAAACCCTTTGTTGTGAAGCCCCCTTTTTTAAGTACCAGTATTTCCCATCACCCGTTCCCTGGAGCTGGCTTTGCATCGCGGATGGCTCGCGAGCCCTCCTTTGGACTGTGTTGTTGACCACTCTGCCCCCAGGAGACCTGGGGACAAGGGACCCTTGACAGAAAGATGTTAAATAACCTGTAACTTGTGTTCTTCGTTCAGTTTTGTTCTGTTTTATTTGTTTCGGTTTGGTTTTTGGTTTGGTTCCATTTTGGTTTTTTGTGGTGTTCTAGTGATAAAAAAAAAAAAAAGGTTTAAAGGAAAAAAAAACCCACACCCAGGCAGAAATGAAGCACATGTAATATAGATTATATATGTTTACAATGTTGTGTATAAATGGGATAGACTCAAACATTACATACTAATAAGTTTCCCTTTTTTTTTTTTTGGGTTGTATTTTTTTTAAAGAAGAAAAAAAAATGAGCAGAGAACATTAAACCCATATTTTTCTTGGTTCAGCAAAGTTTTGGCATTAAAGTCATTAGTTTAAAAAAAGTATATATATACATATATATAATATAAATGGTTTAATGTTCTGTGGTGTATATTTCCTCATTCAGATATGAAGTTAACAGCTTTTAGTAATGGCTGTAGCATTGCCCGTAACTTACAGAACTTATGGGGAGTAGAGGAGGTGGATTTTTGTCATTAGTTGTAGCTAATGGGGCTATTTATAATAGAATCGTTATCCCCAGAAAGACACTGCTTTTAACTCCTCACCGGGGGACCAGGCAGGGCGGGGGGATCTGGCTCAGCCCCCTTTGCCTTTCCCAGCTGGAGAAGGAGCAAACGGTGGGGAGCTGGAGCCCCTCCTGTCTCCTCCAAGGCCACAGCCCCTGCCCCTGCCTGGCTTTGCTTTGCTGCTCCCGGTGCCGAGGCAGGATGCTGGGAAGCAGTGGGCACAGGGAGGGATGGCAGGGTCTGAGCGATGGTTCTACTGGTGGCTTGGCTCAGAGAGGCTCAGCTGGTTCCCTCAGTGCCCCAGCAGCCAGCGCTGCAGAGCAAGCCCCGGGCTTCTCATAGGTCTCTCCTCCTGCAGCCTATGTTTTGCAAAGGGGATTTTGGCACTAAGGTGAGAGCCAGCCCTGCCTCGTCCCCAGGGCTTGCCAGCTGAGATGCTTCCAGCTGGAGCCAGAGGTTCCCTGCAGCCCCAGGTTCTTCCACACGGTCCTTCATGCTTGTCCCTGTGTCCTGTATCCTCAGCCTTAACCAAAGCTGCCATCTGGCCTGTTGTTTTGTTGTTTTTTTTTCTTTTATTTCCAGGACCCAAGAAGCAGATACTGATCCATTTCTCAAGGCAGATACATGCCCTGTGTGCTGACTGCTCCCAGTCCTGGCTCCCCAGGCAGTCGTGGGGTGCCCGCTCCTCAAAGCCAGAAGACGGGGAGATGGAAAGCTCATCTCCCACACTCCCACTGGGTCTTTCCAAGCAGATCCTGCCTGGCATCACAACGTGGCTGGGGCATTTTAAGACAGTCTGGAGCCAGCAGTGGATGAGGGGTTTGGAGCTGGGCACTGCTGGGCTGACGGGATGTTTCTAGAGGGAAGGGCTGGGGAGGCAGGATGCTTGGGGTGATGGTCCCATCGTCACTTCTCTGCCCTGAGCTTGGTGCTGTTGTGCAGAGAACAGCTGCTGTCCTTGGCATCTCCCAAGTGATTCCAGAAGGATCCCACTGCACCCAAATTGAAGGAGCTGTATTTATAAACATCACAGCAAAATGCAGCAATTCCCAGTTGAGATATGTTTCCTGGGTGTCCAAACTCACAGCAGCGTGGCCTCTGAGACCAGAGCTGCAGCCTCCCCTGCTCAGGGGCACATCCCTGTGGAGCACCCTGGGGACGAGAGGAAGCCAGGGCACCCCCACAGGGTCCTGCCTCCCCATGAGCAGGGGACGGGTCTGGTAACCCTCTGTCCAGCAGCCCTGGGGATGGGGAAGGACAGGCACAGAGAACTTAGATATGGGTTTGTAAAGGTGGGGGTGAAACTTAGTGGGGGGGTTATGGCTGGAGTGTGAGTGCTGTTTTTGGAGATGGTAGACTGGGTTTGAGAGGCAGGACACCCCATCCCAACCCTTCCATGGACATAGGCCCAGGGAGGGAGCCAACTTTTCCAGCGGGTGTTGTGGACCAGCTGTGTGCTCTATGTACGTATGTGTAAAACCACATGTAATTAGTCATTGGTTCTTTGTTTTGGGGGTTCTATTTTTGTTGATTTCTTTGTTTTCATTGTAAAGCCATCCCCTGTTTTCAAGGGGGGGCTGCAGGGGGAAGGCTGGGGAGAGAGGTTTGTCACAGGCATCCACCACTTCCCCTCTTCTGTAATGAGTTTAAATGATTTAAAAAAGAAATATTGGAGTTACCTATCTTCGCCCAAAGAATCCCAGTTGCACAAAGCGATATTCCGGTGTGTCGATGATTGTGTGTCAGTGTATATTATACAAAAAGGTACTTGTCACTCCCGTTTGTAAACTACATTTGACATTAATTAAACAAGTATAAATCTTATCGGGCACTTTCTGTGTTTCCCTTTGCAGGCGAGTGGCAGCGGAGGAGACACAATCCAGCCCCCTCCACATGCCACAAGCCGTGGATGTGGGTAATGTCCCAAAGGGGAGCCCCAGTCCTATTTGGGATGCAGGGACAGATGCAGGGGCAGAACCCACTCCAGACAGCACCATGGATGGTGTCCCCCTGCTCGTCCCCCCTCATAGAGCCAGGAGGGCAGGGTGAAGGGCACGCCTCAGGGGACACCCCTGTAATGAAGTCTCATCAGCTGCATTACTTGGGGACCGGAGGCGCCCAGCCCCAACAGATCTATATGTCCTGCATTAGGGGCCACTGCCGCAGTATAGGGTTACCCCCAACAACAGGCACTGAGAGGCTGCAGGGACGGGGCTGGCGCCGACGCTTTTGGTTTACAAACATTTAGCAGATGGGTCGATGGGGTGTTTTGAACTCCCTTCCCATGGCTGCATCCCTGGGGATGGGGTGCTGGGAGTCCCCTGGAGTGGGATATAGGGACCTCTTCCCACCTGCAGTGGGAAGTATGGGGAAAGGGGTGGATTTGGCTGCTGCTTTGGCTGGCAGGGAGAAAGCGGAGCATCTCAGCCCATGGGAGGGCTGAGGGCAGGGTGGGGGGCAGGAACCCACCCTCCTCCCCTCCACCCGGCCCGCAGCAGGCTGCTAATATTTTATTTAGAGTATCTTTAGGAAGCGGAGGCCCATGATGTATCGGAGGTATTGAGAAAATGCTAATGTGTAATAGCGTGTGTCAGGGGCCTCGTTCATCACCCGGCGCCGCCTTCTGGGGGATCCATATCTAATTAACAGTAATGAATGAGGGAGCCCACCTAATGACAGCCCGCCAGTTTGTTATGGAAATGAGGCAATCCCATTAGGCAAAACACTTAATTAAACAAACTGCTCCGAGTGGAGGCCGGAGCAGGATGGGCACAGGCCCTTTGAGGGAACGGGGGGAACTGTGGTATCCAGCCCCCCATATGTCGGGGACGGGGGGGCACAGAGGCTTCTGCAGCCCCATAGAACTGAGTGTCCATGGTTAACCTCAGAAGCAGCAGGCTTAGGGAGCTAAGGGGTACCCACTGGTGAGGGTCCCAGCTGGGGAGGTGGCAGCAGGCAGGTTTACATCCCCCTCCCCTTGTCTCTCTGCACATCGATGGGCACAGAGGCAGCAGAGGCCAAACACAGATTTCCAATCACACGTGTGTACTTGGCTCCTGCTCTATTGACACTGAAGCAAGAAGGGCTCAAGGTTAATTCCTTATCAATACCCTATTGTCAGCTCATTCATCACCCAGGGAGGGCAGGGCCTGCCCAAGCTCTCCCTGCTCTAGCCCCCATGGGTTTGGGAGGGTGACCAAGGATGTCATGATGCTGTGCTCCGCTGCCTGCCCCAGCCCTGCCTGGGCAGCCCATCTCTGGCCAGTGGTGCTGGGGTGGGCTTCCAGCCATGTAAGGATATAGAGATGAGGGGTTGTGGGCTCAAGTTCAAAGGCAAGGAGATAGGGGGATATGTGCAGGCAGAGTGAGCAGCTGCCTGGTGAACCCCTGCCCCAAGCTGGGTGCAGGAGCTGTGCATAGAGGGTGCACTGGGGGGTTCAGATAGTGGCTGTGGCACCCATTTGTGCTGTTGTGTTAACTGCTTCCTAAGCCCCCAGCCCTGTGTGTTGTGGGGTCCTACCAGCCTTTCTAGAGAACAGTGCTAAGCTCAGCTCCCTCTCCAGGGCTTGGGGGCTACAGCGGTCCCAAGGGAGCTCCACAGTCCTGATTTGTGGGGTTTCCAGGAGTTGGACCATGGACCACAATATTGCACAGATTCACTTAAAAGAGTTGCTACCCCTCTCTGTGTGATGGAATGGGAAGGTGGAACCTGGCCTCCTGTTGCCAGAAGGGCAGTAAAGCTATTCCTGCCATTAGAATTTCAGGTTTAGTGTTTGGTTGAAGCTAAGAAACAGGATCTAGTACAACTTCCCGGGGCACGCAGCTCCAGGGCCTGATGCTGTCCTGTATGAACTCACCATTTCCACTTCTTGCCGTCAGTTTGTTCTTGCTGGTCTTTTTCTTTGACTGATGTGACTGTTTTGCAGGAGATGCTCTCGGGCACACACACAGGTTGGGGTCTTCTCCAGGATCTGCTCTGCTGGTCTCAAGTGTGAATCTCCCCACGCAGGAATAAGGGGGGCTGCTGCCACCTCGTGGAATGCTGCTCTGCCCGGACCAAACACCCCACACATCAGTCCGAGTGCTGCCATGGCCAACCTCCACCATCCATGGGTGATGGAGACTGACCTCCCTCTCCCCACTTCTCTTTCTGGGAAGCAGCACATGGAGCTGGGTTGCTTGGGTCTGTTCAGGCCATTCACACTTCTCCATCAGTGGCAGAGCTTTGCCCATACATCTGCGACATCCCAGTACCTACAAAGACCGGGACCTCAGCCCAGCCACAGTTTGCTGCCCCAACACAAAAAAGGCAACAGCAGACTTGTTTTAAAACAACACCTTTATTAGGCACAGGTTAGTCGTTGCTCAGGGGGCTGTTTTGAATTAGTTGTGCTGCAAGATGCTCCCTCCTGCTCCAAAGCATGACCCCTGGCTGGGCTGGATCATGCCCCTGCTCTGCACCAGTCCCCACTGCAGCCTCTCCCAGTGCTGTGGGACATGCTGGCTGCAAGGGCACCCTCCAGCAGCAGTCACTGGTGCCATACCCCACTCCCGACCCACAAGGCAAGTCCAGGGATGCTGCATGTTTC